CGCTTCCCGGCTCAGAGTTAAGCAGTTCAATAGCTGATGGAACAAAGGTGTTGGCAAAGCGGTTTGTTTTCCGAGAAGGTACACAATAACGACGTCCTGAGGGCATAAGAGAGAACTCAGAGTGCAGAGCATGGAGGGGCTGACCAAGGATACATTTAGCCTTTTTTCGCGCCCTCTCCTCCCATAGAGACTGTAAGTCTCTTTGTTTGGCGCCAATAATTTTGGAGCAGATTTTTACAATGCTCTGCAGCTTCTTTTTGTCCTTCATGGACAAGGCTTTGTACCAACAAACAAATGAAAATGTTAAAATGCTTTCTATAAAACAGCTATAAAAGTTGCAGAGAATCCTTTTATTCACGTTAAAATAGTTCAATTTCCTTAAAAGATAGATTCTCTGCTGAGCTCGTTTAAAAATGGAGTCCGTGTTTGTGACAAACCGCAGCTTGTTGTTAGTTTTAACTGGAAAGAACCAGCCCACTCGCAGCTGTTGGACGTTTTTATCATGGCAGAAAATTGCTGAAATATTGTAAAAACAAAACCTTTAATTCCCAAATTCATCCAGAAAAAAACAATAAAATCAAAACACGATAGTTTAAAGTTAGCGCCTGTTAGCGTACGCTAGCCTGTACAATACGTGTGGGACCCTGAGGGTGAAGCTGCTTGTGTCTGTCCAGGAAAGTGTTTTTGTTTTGTGCCTTTTGTGTCATGTTGTGGTGAAGAAAACTAACCCACGACATACAGAATCAGATCGGAGACGGTTTTAAAAGGTTTAAATAAGGATTTATTGAAGGGAAACCAAGGAAGCAGCGTAACGAAGCTGAGTTCTTGCGCAGGGAGGCTGGTGCTGGAAAACTGTGGACAGATCGGAGTTAGATCCAATTTGCGGAAGGATCAGGAAATCAGACTTGTGCAGAGGACTTACGGTCTGGGGAGGTGGGAACTGGTTTGAGGGAGGAGTGGTCCGGTCTGGGTAGCAGGGACTGAGATCCAGGAGTGAGACGTGGAGGGAGCTGAGCTTGGGAAGGTCCAGGAGGGTTAGGTGGGCGGCTGGAGGTGGTTCTGGCCAGGGGAGAGGCTGAGAGACGAGCGGGGTTGGAGCTTCAGATGATGCGGGCTCCAGAGTTCTGCCAGTCGAAGATGAGTGTGGAGGTTTTGTCTGGGAACAAGAGCAGGAGGTCAAAAGGCAAAAATCCAAAAACTCATTAAATTCTTAAAACTCCAAATTACAAAAACACAATCTAACTCTCAAAAAACTCGAATAAGATAAACTAGTGGCTGTTAGAAGGTACCCAGGTAGAGTAATCATCCAGCAAAGTGTAGGAGTCTCCCAGCTGCTTAAATACCCCTGGCCAGCTGATGAGCAGATCTGCTGCAGCTTGGTCACCTCCAGACACGCCCACCTGCAGAGGGAAACTCAAAAGACAGGGAGTGACAGCAGGGAAATACCTCAGACCGTGACATTTTGGTTCTCGACCGGAAAAGGGTGGCTTGCCATCTCCGGGTCGGGGGAGAGGTCCTACCTCAAGTGGAGGAGTTAAGTATCTCGGGGTCTTGTTCACGAGTGAGGGTAGGAGGGATCGGGAGATCGACAGGCGGATTGGTTCGGCGTCTGCAGTGATGCGGACGCTGAGTCGATCTGTCGTGGTGAAGAGGGAGCTGAGCCAGAAAGCCAGGCTCTCGATTTACCGGTCGATCTACGTCCCAATCCTCACCTATGGTCATGAGCTTTGGGTAATGACCGAAAGAACGAGATCGCGGATACAAGCGGCCGAAATGAGTTTCCTCCGTAGGGTGGCCGGGCTCAGCCTTAGAGATAGGGTGAGGAGCTCGGACATTCGGGAGGGACTCGGAGTAGAACCGCTGCTCCTCCGGATCGAAAGGAGCCAGTTGAGGTGGTTTGGGCATCTGGTCAGGATGCCTCCTGGACGCCTCCCTGGGGAGGTGTTTCGGGCATGTCCTGCCGGCAGGAGACCCCCGGGTCGACCCAGGACACGTTGGAGAGGTTACATCTCCAATCTGGTCCGGGAACGCCTTGGGGTCCTGCCGGAGGAGCTGGTGGAGATGGCCGGGGAGAGGACGGTCTGGAGCTCCCTAGTTGGGATGCTGCCCCCGCGACCCGGACCCGGATAAGCGGAGGAAGACGACGATGTCGCCTTTTTGTGCAGAAAAATGAATCTAGCTTCAATAATCCAACAAATCCAGTAGATTAAAACTCATTTGGATCAGTTGAGGAGGAAAGTCTAAACCCTGGTTCATGTTTGTTAAAAAGGTCAATCATGTAGCTATAAAAGGGAAAAATGACAGTTAAACTAAGAGATGCTCAGTGATTCCAGGATTATGGTTGTTTATTAATGTGATGAAATGATGAGATTTTTCTCTTGTTGCTTTAATTAGCAAGAAAAATACAGAATTTTAACTTCTTAAAGGCATTAAAATAGGAGACTTAAAACCACAAAATGACTTATCAGAAAAATCCCTAATGGTTGTGTTATGAATTTAATTTGAGATAAACACTGTAAAAACCACAAGAAGGTCGTTTTCTGACAATAACCTTTAAGATTTGTTGCTGTTTTTATTTCTTGTCTCCCTGCATGAGTCTGAGCTCCTGGTGGAGTAAACATGGTTCTGGTTCTGGTTCTGGTTCCTCGTGGCTGAAGGCCACATGAGTCACCGCTCTGATTTACTGACACACACGCTGAAAGCAAACGACTGTTGTCCTGGCAGGCTGCAGCACAAAGGGACAGATGTCCACTCAGCGGTCTGCAGGAGGGGACATGCTGTCCGTCATGTGACCCAGGTTCTGGGTTCTGTAAGCGTGGACACACCCCAGACAAACCCGGCATAAAACCCAACAGTTCATCCTGCTGCTGTCGGATTTTATTTGGATTCAAATTTCTGTTATTTTCTGTAAAACCAGAATAAACAGCCGAGCTCTTCAGCTCCTCTGGAGGTCACTAAGAAGTCACCTAGCCTCAGCGCTCAGGCCTGCAGAGCTGATGGTACCATCTGCTCCACCTGGAGGATAACCCACATGACCCGGTTCTGAGGAGGTTCTGCTGGTGTTAAATAGTTATGACTTCATTGAAGCGGAAATCCACATTTTATATCCTCAGATTAACTTTGTTTGGATTCACACGGAGAAGAACAATAACATTTTCACACCAAGGTTTCTTTCACACTTAGCAGGAAAAAAGGGGGGATTTGAAACTGGCCTACAATCGTATCAATTCCAAGATACCATGTTCGAACATCTGGCTAACTCCTACATTTTCTCCCAGGAACATAAATTTTACCAAGTGACTTGTTTGTTTCCCTCCTTAAGCAATTGAGAAGCCGGACAATTATCAGGACGTGGTCTGGCTTACCTCAACCTGCAAAGAACTGGCTCTCCCCAAGGCCTGGTGCTCGTAAAACTTCTCAAGGGTCATTCTGGAAGATTCCAGGATTTAGTCTTTATCAAACCCTGGTATTTTTCTGTTAATCTACAATCAAAGAAGGTGTTTAGGTTGTTTACCCTTAAAATAGAAATCAAGGTGCTCTAAATTAGAATCTTATCAGCCACAGACCTAAACTGTTTGTTTTGTGTTTTCTTTTGTTAAACCTCTGTCATTTTGTGTTTCTCCAGTTAAAATTCATGCTAATGGTAAAACTGTCCAGTTTTAATACATAAATTTAGTTCTTCTCTGTTTAAAGTAATACTTTGACCCCCCCATCTTGACCAACTTTGGTAAATTGTGATCATTGTTGGAAAGGCAGAGGTTATGTGAAAGAGCCACAGTGCCATCAAGTGGTTAAGGAGTGAAATACATGTGGGTGTGACAAAAAGAAAGTTTATAAAACCAGAAGTTCAGACCTCGTGTGGAGAAAAAAGAAGAAAGATACCTTAAGCGAACCTCTGCTGGGCTTTTCCATCTGGGCCCAGCAACAGATAACCTGGCGCTTTACAGTTGTCAAGTAATTAGCTCTCAAAAGTTACGGTAAAAGGTAGAAGCAACTCCGTTTGTTTTGTTTTGACTTCCTACGTGAAACCGGAAGTCTGCATGTTCAGTCGAGTTCTCACATTAAGAGTTAAAACTAATTTGGAGCAGTTTTTCTGATTCTGCATCGGTTTTGATCATTTGGACTCGCGCTCTGAATTCCACATTTTCGGTGCAGCTGAAGTGAAGAAACCTTAAAGTCCAGGCACTCCCGGGGAATGAGATTCTCCTGAGCTCAACAGACTCCGTTGACCAACTCGGGGCCAAAATCTTACTGTCCCAGAAGCCTCTTCATGAGCTAGGACTGCCTCAGCCCTTTGGCCACCCTCTGGCGACGAGGAGAAAGGTCTGTGAATCATTTTCATCTGGCTGACCTTTTCTACTAAGCCCGATTAGTGAATTCATCCTTAAACTTTTGTGGTGTGTGTCATTTCGATCCAAATTCCCGTTTAGCTCTCAAGATTTACCTTCTTTTTCTGCCGCAACGAATCCTTATTCACATCCACACACACACCAACTCTCATTTGCCTCCACTCACACACATGAAAACACCCCCTCCTGCACCCATACGCACACACACACACACACACACACACACACACACCCACACACACACCCATTTCACTTAAACCCACATGAACATTTCCCTTTGTCCCCCTTTAGAAATTATTCCCTATTTTTCCATAATCCTGGTGTCACCGAATTTCCACTTTTATTACGGATCAGTTATTTCCTATCACTGCCATAAAGCTTTGGGTTAACAAGTTTCTTAATTCCATGCATGAAACTATAAGCTGTGTTTGGTCCTTTTGTCAGTTGTCACGTTGCGGGTGTAGGAGTGGATGGACATGTGTGGCGGAGCAGATCAGGAGGTAAAGATGCAGGCTTCAGATAAAGTAAAATGGTTTTAATGGTGGGAACAGGAACGAACAGCACAAGACAACAATGACAAACAACCACAATGATCTGACAAAGACTGATACAAGGAGGGAGGTATAAATGCACAGGGCAAATGAGGAACAC